GAACCGCGGTCCCTGATGCTTTGCTAAGCTTGTTCTAAGTAGGTGCTTTAGACCACTGAGCCATCTCTCCAGCCCACCAGCTTCTTAAGAGAACACGTTAGTAAAAGAAATGTATAGAGGGCTAATGTAAAAACCAGACTACCTGAAGCTTAAAGTCTGCATATTGTCTAACAGATGTCACTGCATTTGCCTTGAACATCTAATATATGTGGTACTGTGTTTTATCATTTTGCTGTGGGGTTGCAATGGTGCCCAAGCACAGTATGGAAATCATGGAATCAGTCATGGTTACCTTCAGGGAGTGGCATTATGGTTTTATTTATTTATCATACTACTGGAGATTGAACCTAGGCTTTACCTTACTAAGTACTCTACCAATGAGCTATGCCCAAACCCTTTTTTATATTATTTTGAGAGAGGATCTTTGAGAGTTGTCCAGGTTGGCCTCAAAGTTGTGATCCTCCTGCCTCAGTCTTCTAAGTAGTTAAGATTACAGGCATGGACCACCATGCCCTACTATTTATTTCTCTACACTTTATGGCTTTTCCACTTCTTTTACAGTGAACAAACATAACATGAGAGATCAGAGGAAAAAATATCGTTATGGGTATTTATAAAATACTAACTAAAATTGATGTTATTCCACTTTCTAAGAATTATTTCCTTAATGTCCTTTTTCTTTCCATCCAGGGCATTATGTTGCATATAGTCATCACATTTCCTTAAGGCCCTCTGGTCAGATTCTCAGACCAGCCCACTTAGCCTCTTCCCTCCCCACTCCACTTCTACTTCATTACAGGAATTGAAATCAAAGACCTTCACACTGAGCTACATCTCCAGTTCATTTAAAATTTTTATTTTATTATTTATTATTTATTTGGCGGAACTGGGGATTGAACTCAGGCCCATGTGCTTGCCAGAGAAGCGCTTATTCTACTGAGCTATCTCCCCGGCCCCTAAAAGTTTTAAATTTTGAGACAAAGTCTTAAAGTTGCTAGACTCAGCTTGAACTTGTGATTCTCCTGCCTTAGCCTCCCAGAGTACTGGGATTAGAAACATATACCATCATGCTAAGCTCTTTCTTTCTTTCTTTTTTCTTTTCTTTCTTTTTTTTTTTTTTTTTTTTTTTTTTTTTTTTTTTTTTTTTTTTTTTTTTTGATAACCCCCATAAAGTTTTAGGGAGTGTTGAGTGTTGGTTAAATATTTTGCAGAATGTCTCTCAGTTGGGATTTATCTGGAGCTTTTCTCATAAAATAACTGAGGTTAGGGGCAACCCATTTGGGTCTCCCTCTTACCTCTCAGAAGCAGTATCTCATCTCCACCTCAATAAATATTTCTGGGGCTGGGAAGATGGCTTAGTGGAATAAGTGCTTCCCTGGCATGTGCAAGGGCCTGAGTTCAATCCCTGGTTCCACCAAAAAATAAAAAATAAATATTTCCTACTCTTAACCTAAAGACAACAACAGCTGAGGTGAGGTTAGGGTTCTGCGGAGGAAGGCCACAGAGGTAAAACTCCCTGCCCATCCCATCATATCAAGGGTACCTGCTTGTCTACGTGGTTTATGATAACCTTGATTATGTGGCTAAAATAAGATTTGTCAGATTTCTTCGCTATAAAGTTAATCCTTCATTTTTCTATTTCTTTCTGTCCTCGTTAGCAGGCAGTCACCAAGTAGAGTCCATACTTGAGACACACAGTGAAGGGTATGATCCACTTTCTTGAAGGCAAAGTATCTGCAGAAGTTGATTTAAATTCTTCATATTTAATCATATATTTGAACAATCTATTCAGGAATACTTATTTTATACTGTTATAATCTACTGCTGATTTATTTTGTTGGTTAAATTATTTCAGTTTTGACCTTGAAAGGTCTTTCAGCTGCTGCTGTATCCTTTTGGCATTTAATAATCATTATAGGTTTTGTTTTGTAAGGTTTTCTGAGTCTTGCTGGTACAAACAGGCACTGTGATTGGGTGGTAGAAGTCGAGGCACTGTTCTCTTTCCAATGGGTATTTCCTGTGGCCTTAGTGCTTTCCTTTCACACGTGGGCTGATCTGTACTTGGCAAAACACTCAGGTGTAGATTCCCCAGCATTTCCTTCGTGTGTAATTTTCTTCTCTGTAGTGCTCTGACCTGTGATCTCTCACTTTCTTGGTCTCCTGGGTCCTCAGTTCTTTGTTCTACTTCATGGCCTCTCTTGCTCTGCCTGGCTTTTCTTCCCTGAGCTATACCCTGGAAATGGTTTCCAGGCAGTGAGCTGGGGCAGTTGTCTTAGTTTTGTTCTCAAAGATTACTGTCACAGGCCAGGGATATAGCTCAGCAACACAGCTCGTGTCTGGTAAGCACAAGGTCCTGAGTTCCATTCTCAGTACCAAAAAAAGATCGCTGTCACTTGTTCCATATTGAGTCTGTTAAAAATCATTGTTTAGTCTACTTACTTGCTTTCTTTTATTGTTATTTTTTATTTTTTATAAATATCTCTTTTTTATTTTTTTATTTTTTAAAATTCATTTATTTTATTTATTTTGTGTGTGTGTGTGTGTGTGTGTGTGTGTGTGTGTGGCCAGCTCAGCCCACCACGGGGCAGGACTGGCTGGCATGTGGTGCTGGGGGATTGAACCACGGTCCATATGCTTTGCTAAGCTTGTTCCAAGTAGGTGCTTTAGACCACTGAGCCATCTCACCAGCCCACTTGCTTTCTTTTAGTTTCTCTACACTTTATGGATTTTCCACTTCTTTACAGTGAACAAACATATAACATGAGAAATCAGAGGAAAAAATATCGTTATGAGTATTTATAAAATACTAACTAAAATTGATATGTTATTCCACCATCTAAGAATTATTTCCTTAATGAGGTAGAATAATAGATCTGGTCCCTGTTACTTACAGGGGCATCTTGACCAGATAGGAAAGTCTTCCAGGTCCTTTTCAATCATTAATTAATTAATTCATTTGTTCATTCATTCATTTATTATTTGGTACAGGGTATTGCTATGCAGCTCAACCTCATAGTGATTCTCCTGTCTCAGTATCCCTCAGCACTAGGATTACAGGCACGGGCCACCATGCCTGATTTCAGAGCAGTGTGTCTGGGGTTTTTGGACCAACATAGTATGTGGCACCAGGGATCGAATCTGGGTCCTTGCACTTACCAGGCAGGCTCTTAGACCGTTGAGCTATCTTACCAGCCCTCAAGGTCCTTTTTCAAATCCTGAATGAGTTTTTAATTTTATGAAATTCTTTTGTCTATTGAGATAATCATTTTTTTTTGTTGTTGATAATGTGTCTAATTACATTGAGTGATTTTCTTCTTTTCTATATTAAATTTATTTTATTTTGTGTGTGTGTGTGTGTGTGTGTGTGTGTGTGGCCAGCTCAGCCCGCCTGGGGGCAGGGCTGGCTGGCATGTGGTGCTGGGGGATTGAACTGCGGTCCATGTGCTTTGCTAAGCTTGTTCTAAGTAGGTGCTTTAGACCACTGAGCCATCTCACCAGCCTCTTCTTTTCTATATTAAATCAGTCTTTTCTGAAATAAACCTAACTAGGTCAACTTACTCATGATCTTATTTTATGTGTTGTTCAGTTTACTGACATATGTTGAGGAAGTTTTATATTTATATTTATGTTCATCATGGCCCTTACAGGCTTTGACATGAAGATTCTTTTTTTTTTTTTTTTTGGTACCAGGAGTTGTACTCAGAACCTTGAAGATTATTCTTATAAAAAGTTGTTTAAGGTTATAAAATGAGCTGGGAAATATTCCCTCTTTTTCTATAGAAGTTTACACAAGACTTGGGATTTTTTTCCCCCTTAAGTGGCTAGGCATGTTCTCTGGTGAAACCTTATGGTAATTGCATTTGGAAAGCTATTTAATTACAGATCATCTTCTTTAACATGTTCCCACCAGCTTGAATCACTGGTGGTATATGCATGACTGCCTCAACGAGTTGCTTGTATCATCCAATGGGACTGTCCCATGCTGCCTAGCGTGACAGTTATGCATTTACCACTTTTGGTTCAGAGCTATCTGGCAGTGAGAGACATACGTATTATGACCCTGTCTTTTTTTTTTTAGTACAGGGTGTACAGGGTCTCACTATGTAGATCTGACTTGTAGTGATTCCCTGTTTTCAGCCTCCCAAGTGCTGGGATTACAGACATGTGCCACTATGCTAGGCTCTGGTGGCTCAGCCCACGGGGGGCGGGGCTGGCATGGCCTGTAGTGCAGAGGATTGAACCGTGGTCCATGTGCTTGCCTAAGCTTGTCTAAGCTTGCCTAAACAAGTGCTTAGTCTGCTGAGTTATCTTAGTGGCCCTGTTAGGTTATTTTTTTAGTTTAAAAAAAAATTATTTTAAAGAGAGTAGAAAAATAATAGATACACTAGAAATGATACTTTTTTTTTTTTTTTTGGTGGTACCAGGGATTGAACTCAGGAACTTGTTAATGAAGGCAAACATTTACTCCACTGAGCTATCTCCCTGGCTGATGCACAATTTTTTTTAAAAAAACCAAAATAATAGGTATTCAACAGTGGTTGTTATATTGCACAATGTTTTCTTCAGTGTAGTTGCTCAGATTACAGATATAAGTATGTAAAATTGGCCAAAGTAAAAATTTTAAGTATTAACTGCTACCTTCAAAACACCAATAATGCAGTCATCTTCGTTATCCTGTGTGTATACATACATGACTCTTCCCTTTCTCTTTTTCCTATTTTTTCTCCTTTGTCTCATCCCAGTTGTTAATTCCTTATGTTCAATTTTCCTAGAATGCTTCATGAATTTGTGTGTCATCTTTGTGCAGGGTTACTACAAAAATCTTCTCTGTATTGTTTTAATTTTAGCATATGTGCTGCCGAAGTGAACACTTTTTTTTTTTTCTTTTTGAGTCAGGGTTTCTTTTTTTTTTTTTTTTTTTCTTTTTTATATATTTATCTTTTTTTAGGGAAGAGTCTACAGGGTGTTCTGAGTCTCACTGCTAAAGAAGACTCAGTGATCTGCCTGTTTACAGCCTCCCAAAAGCTGGGATTGCAGGCATGTGCCACCACTCCCAGTCTCATTTGCTGTCTCAGCATGCCCCTGGGGCAGGGCCTGCACAGAGGGCCCAGGGATCTAACCTCTGGCCCCTGTGCCTGCTTGTAGGCATTTTAATCAGCTGAGTTATTTGGCTGGCCAAATCAGGGTTTTGTTATTCAGATCAGGATGGCCTTGAGCTCACCCTGTAGCCCAGGCTGGCTTCCAACTCACAGTAATCCTCCTGCCTCAGTCTCCCAACTGCTGGGATTACAGTCATGGGCCACCATGCCCAGCTCAGTTTATTAGTTTTTTGTTTTGGCCAGCTCAGCCTGCCCTGTGGGCAGGGGTGGTGCAGCATGTGGTGCCAGGAGTTGAACCCCGGTCCCCTGCACCTGTCTAAACTTGCCCAAGCAGGTGCTTTAGACTGCTGAGCTATCTTGCCTGCCCCAGTTTATTAGTTTTAGAATGTACTTTTTTGGAAATACGTTATTGCTGATCATGTAAAGAGATGTTAAGGTATATGTTGAATAAAAGGAGAGACTAGTGAATTGAAACTATGATTCTTATATTTTAAAGTACCATTTATACTGTTATATATGTTTTTATAGATTATGTTTAATGTTACTCTTTTTTTTTTTTTTGCTGGCTCAGGATGCCTTCAGGGCAGGTCTGGCAAGGCTTGAGGATCTGGAGATCGACCCACAGCATCCTGAACCTGACTGCTTTGTTTAAGCAATCACTTAAACAGATGAGCTAATGGGCAGGCCCCCTGATGTTGCTTCTCTAAAACCAATGCCTGAGTAGTTAAAAAAACCCTCAAGTTCAACATATGATTTTCCAAAACCGTTTTATATTTATTTAACTGTTGTAATAAGTATATTCGTTAAGAAAAATTTAGTGAATATTAACATTTCAGTACCATAAATGTGTCCATCTAGTATTATAAAACAGTTTAAAGGAAGGATGTGGCTTTGAATGGTAGGGTTCAGTTGAAGCTCTGGTTCTTCAATTGAAGTTCTTTAAGTATATATGCAGTTTGTTGCTAAAAGAAATATTACCACCCTGTGTGCTGGCACATTTACAATTCCATTACTTAGGTGGCTGAGGCAGGAGAATTGTTGCAAATTCAAGGGTAGCCTGGGTACATCATGAGTTCAAGGCCAGCCTGAACTACATAGCAAGACCCTGTCTCAAAAACAAAACAAAACAAAACAAAACAAAACAAAAAGCAAAACAAATATAGGTGGTAGATAGATACCTGATAGCAGTTTATACCTTAAAAGTGAGGTCAGGTCTAGGGAGATGGCTCAGTAGAATAAACGTTTCCTTGGCAAGCTCAAGGGCCTGAGTTCAATCCTCGGTTCCAGAAAAAAAAAAAAAAAAAAAAAAAGTGAGGTCAGTGATGTCTCATAGTAGAATTTTGTACAGAGGAGCTGTCAAACCAGATTCCTAAGGATGTCAGACAGGAAATAAACTTTGAAAGCTAAAAATTTTACTGGTTTGTTCAGTTATTAGAAATGAATCTTCAAAAAGAAAGAAATGACTCTTCCAATGCTTTTAAATTTTGTTGTGCTTTTATGTTAAAGATGATCAGAGTTATTTATACTTATATAAGTCACATTGTTAAATTTTAAGAAATTTGGTAAAATTGTACTTACTGATTTTTTTTTTTTTTTTTTGGTGGAACTGGGGATTGAACTCAGGCTCCTGTGCTTACCAGGCAAGCACTTATTCCACTGAGCTATCTCCCCAGCCCCTCTACTGATTAAATATTAACTTTTTCTGTAAAGTGTCTATCTTCCTAGTATAATAAGGTTTGGAGATTTATGAAGGAAGAGGTTTTAATTTCTTGGTGTAAAATATCGTAATTTAAGCAATTTTCTTTTTCATGTTAAAAATGGAAGTATTTAGGGACTGGGGAAATAGCTCAGTAGAATAAGCACTTGCCTGGCAAGCGCAGGGTCCTGGGTCAATCCCTGGTACCGCCAAAAAAAAAAAAAAAAAAAAAAAAAGAAAAGTATAAAATACATGACAAGCAATTATCTGGATATCTGTGGTTCTTTTTATTTCTAAAATTTATTTCCAATTTTTGCAGTACATATTCAGATACATGTATCAACAGATTGAGTGATTCTAAGCCTGAAGTTCTTTTAGATAATATCTATTTGGATTCTTTTATCTTGTGGAGAAGGGAAACAAGACAGGTACTGATAAAGCACAAATAAATGTCCCCAGTGTCTTGAGGGAGTAAGAGTGGATTTTGCACTTAAGAGAACTAGAGCTTTGCCTTAATCACTGTCACAGGAGTGAGCTCTATGAAATTCCGGAGGTGTGTGATGGCCTTGGCTTTCTCACCACCTGCTGACTTCTAAAAGCTACTTTATCATTTCCCAGGCAGCAAAGATAAAAACTATGAAGCCTGTTTGAAGACCATTATTATTCAGTAAACAAAATGGTTTTATACTTTAAATAAATTGAGAATAGCTTTAGGTTCTCAGAACCAAGAGATTACTGTTAAATTATTTATGCCTGCTGGACTGTTTTTACATTGGAGACCCATTTCCCATTCCTCTCTTCTGAAGATCCTATGAAGTTCAGTAAAAAAAAAAAAAGAATAAATTATACACTATAAGGAGGTGAGCTTTGTGTTATGTGAATCACATCTTAATTACATTGTTACAGAAAAAACCCAAGTATTATCGGTGGCTTACTTTAATGAGTAATAAAAAATGTTTTGTGATAAAATAGGAAATGCAGTTAACTAAAATGTCAGATAATGACAGAAGCTGCTGAGAAAAATATTCATGATTCTCCAGCAAATTCCAAGTGAAATCTGCTAGTGTGAAGTTGATCAAACATAAGTTAACATTCTTTGTGCTTAGTGTGACTGTTTTGGGGTAGACCACTTTGATTTAAAGTTGAAAATGGTTATTAGTTTGAACTATAGTAGTTCTTCATTGTTGCATAGCTTCAACCTGTAAATATGAAAGAGAAAGTTCTAGGCATACCCTTACAGTTTCCCAGTGAAGTATTCCAAAAAGGGTCTTTTCATAACAGTGGAAAATAAGCCCCAGTGCTGATAGCCCTCCATACTAACACCTAACAAAGCTTAAAAACATGACCTGAAAGAATCAAATTATTTTGAAAATAATTTAACTGTATCCCAATGAAAACCTCAAGAAATTTATTTAAAAAACAAAAACACTTCATAAGTTTTATTTATTTTTATGTATTTGGTACAGGGTCTCACTACACAGCTCGGACTTGTAGTGATCCTCCTGTTTTCAGCCTCCCCAGCACTGGGGGTACAGACTGTATAGGATTTCCTATACAGGTGCTTAGTCCCCTGCGCTATCTTGCTGACCCTCATAAGTTTTGTTTTTATTTATTTCTTTATTTTTTGATGGAACTAGGGATTGAACTCAAGCCCTTGCACTTGCCAGGGAAGCACTTATTCCACTGAGCCATCTCCCCGGCCCCTCCTCCAAAGCTTTAAATTCCATATTGTTGAGTAGTGTAAAGAAATCCTGCTCTGGCCAGCCCAGATGTGAATCACACCTCTGTCCAGCATGTCCTTGCTGTAAATGCCACCTTCTTGTTAGTTATTGAGTGGCTTTGTTGATTATTAGAATGAACGTTTCTCTGTTGCAGTGCTTGTGTTAAAGTAACCCTTGTTTTACTTAGTAAAGTGCAAAAGTAGTGATGCTGGCAATTTTGTTACATTGTAATTGTTATTAATTTTTTTATGTATTTAGTACAGGGTCTACATGGTCTTACTACATCTCGTTTTCAGCCTCCCTAGTTCTTGGATTACAGGTGCTTGCCACCATGCAGTCTCAGTTGCATCTCAGTGCACCCATGCTGGGGGATTGAACCCTGGTCCCTGCATCTGCGCTTTAATCGCTGAGGTATCTGGCCAGCCCTTAGTTATTGTTGATAATCTCTTAATGTGTCTAATTTCACTTTATCATAAATATATGTATGTGGAGGACCACCTGAGCAGCTCTCCTTAAAAGAAGAGCGACTGTCTCCATTTTGGCTGAGCCTGACCCTATTTCCTTGGCTTGTTATGCACAGAGCTGGCTAGGACTGCTGTTTATCCTTCAATTGGCCTTAAGCGATGTATATTGGTCTAGCTGAGGTGCTGGTCATAGTCTTTGAAGGTGGAGTGCGTGTTTCCCTGGTAACCTATACCTGCTGCTCTTTAATGTGAGCCAGGTTGAGACAGGACGGTAGAGCTAATGCTCCTCGGCGCCAGCTGGGATCGAGCCTCGAGACAGAGGACACAACTTCCTGGGGCTTGAAAGACTACACCAAAGCTGAAGCACCAGACTTACCAAAACATTAGATACTATATAATGCAGATTGCTCTCTCTGCATATCCTCTCTGCATATCGCAGAGGTAAATTTAGGCCACACACCTAGCTCAGCTAGTAGTCTCTTTCCCACAGTTCTCAGTCAATCCTCAAGCCACTCCCCCACTGAATAAAACTGGGTGAGGCCCTGGGTCGCTCACTTGGTTCCAGAAAGCCATCTTCATGACTGGACTTAGAGCCCCTTGACTCCTCTATGATTGAAGATATAATTTAGGGGGCTGGGGAGATGGCTCAGTGGAATAAGCGCTTCCCTGGCAAGCTCAAGGGCCTGAGTTCGATCCCCAGTTCCGCAAAAAAAAAAAAAAAGATATAATTTAGTGTCTTTATTTTCGCCGTGGGTTGCATTATAAGTGGTAGATTAAAATCATTTTGATGAGATTCCAATAACGTAACTTTGGGATTACAAATATTGGCTTCTTGTATCGAGACGAAGACCTAGAAGTGTCTCCTACATATGTACAGTAATACCTCGGCTC